GGGGGGTGGGGGGGAGCATTGATTGGTGGGCCTGATGGATAGAGTTTCATCAGAGCTAAACAACAAAAGAAATCTGAAGCTCCTATGTTGAACAGTTTCTGAGTTATAAGTATTTTTGCATTTCCAGACACCCCCTCTTTGTATGGAGCCCCCTCCTCAAATATGGGGTCTATTTTAAAACCGTTGGCTGGCGCAGTGTAGGTCGGACTCATCTACAGTCCTGCCAAATTTCATGTTGATTGGTGCAGCCGTTTTTGTGTCACGGTTGACCAAATATCACTGAAAAAAAAAACAGTACGAAAACGATATGACTCCCGCTTACGCTTCGCGTGCGGGGGTCATAATAAAAATAAAAACTGGTTTTCGGTACAAAACGGTATACCGCCTAGCACTAAAACGCTCCCGGGGAGACTTGTTCTTAGTTTTGTTTTGACTAGTCACAATTATCAAAACGTTCCGCTTATTTATGGGTGCTATGACCTTTTGGCATTTAAACATTGTATGCTAATTTAAGCTTGTTTTACTTTTCTGTAGTCTTTTCAGCTTGTTTATGTTTAATTTAGAAAACTTTACTTTTTCTGAAAACTTCATGTTTTCCTGTTGGTTTACATAATTTATTAGTTGTTTGATGAATCTCACTGGTGTGTCTGTTTCTTGCAGGTAACTCCAACATTCCACTGAGCAACAAGAACCATGTCAGATCTCTGTGTTGGAATCAACGGGTAAGTTTCACCCTCATGTTTTATAAACTGTGTGATGAGACACAGGCAGGAGGGACAGCTTTGCTTTTTCAAATGTGTACTGCTGTTTTTAAAAAGGGCAGCATRTTGTGCCTGTTCACTTTTTCTGGGTGTGGGTGAGTGAATGGTTGTCTTTTTTGTCTCTGTGATGGACTGGACACATATCCAGGTTTCCCACGCTTCTAAATCAGTCACAAATTAACACAGTTGGTCTGCCCTCTGATTTCTATGATGCAGAAAACACAGACACAACCATGGGATTTACCAAACAAAACAGAATCCAAAGTTTGAGGTATTTTGCCTGCTGCCACTCCCTGTACCTTCCATTACCTAGTTATGCACAAGCGACGTGAGTCCACACAGATGGGGGAAAAAAATTCAGCCCCAGCAAAAAGGCTTGCTGAAACTCAAACGTCCTCCAAAAACATGAAGCTTAGTGTAAAGTTCACGGCAAAACAATATCCCAGCAATATTTATGAATCTGGAGAACAACTTCTCTTTAAGTTTTGTCACACATGATGGACTGAACATGTAAGAATACATGTGATGRCCACTTCCTGACTCTCATCAGAAACAAAGAGAACAAGCAAGCAGACTCCTGCAAACTCTTCAACATTCAGCTACATCAGTAGACGAGAGGCACGAGTTTATCTAAGATTTTGTTGCTGATATTCTTTTTAGAAAAAACTGAAAATGCTCAGTGTGTTTGATAAAGCACAATAAACAAGGATGGCTCTGCCAAAACAAGTAAAAATAAGCTTAGATCCTGTTCAATAGGCAAGTCTGCTTAAATGATTGTTTGTAATGTAGTTTTATGTTTTTTTGTGAGTTATACTGTATTTAATGTTAAGTTCAACTCTAAAAAATGTTTAATTTACAAAAGGATAACTTAATATGAGATTCTATGTTGTACACAAAGRATGTTTTGTGTTCTTTAAAAAATGATGGGTAAAGACTTAAGATACTGTCATTTATTTCTAAGCATTTATTCTGCTGAACCACAGCCTTCTGTGAAAGTGAAATAATGGCTAGTAAACTGAGGGCAGACCCTCAGTCGACGTATACATCCAGGAAGAATTTAGTCCACAGCTCAAGGCCATGTAGGGGAGAGCCAAATTCTGTAATCAGTTATTTGGGAACAGAAGAGAATGTTTTGAGCCAGATAGACAATAACAATTTTCCATCAGCTTTAATGTCCGCTGGTTACAACTCAGTGTAGCGAATCCAATCAGACAAATAGTGTGGACAAATTCCGCCGAGCTGTACTATCAGTTTTCTCCAAAATCAATTCCATCTGGCCAGCAAAGTCCAAGGACCACAGCCGGCCTGCGACCCTCAGCAGAACCGCTTGCAAACCGAGTCCAGCTCGCTCTCAAGGCAAAAGTCTGAGTGCTGATAGAACAGCAATCCTTCATATTGGTCAGGCAGCCAGGAAATGAACAGCCACCAACACTGTTTTGTAGAACACCAGGAGACCACCAAGCCAATCTGTAGAATCCAGTGATTGGAATCCAAATATATATCCACAACAGAGCAGAACAGAGGTCCCACCCACATGTCCCACATGTCCTCCCATGGAAGAAAAAAAACTTTGTTCCAAAAATTTATTAAGAGACCAGCTAACCAAATATATAAAAAATCATAATTTCTTGTTTGAGATGAAAAGGTCGAGAAGGCTCCGAGCTGCAAAGCAGGGAAGATAAGGAAGGGCAGGAGAGAAGGAAAAAGTGTCTTACTCCGAGAGTGGGAAAAAAAGAGCAAATTCCGTGAGATTTCGCTTTTATACAGGATTCCATTTTGTGTCACTTTCATGAATCCGTTTGCATTTTCTGCATTGCGGAAATCATAGGGCCCTACACATCTCAGTCCTATTTTTATTTTATTTTTTTTTACACACCTGGGAAATGTTTCCATGTACCCCCTGTAATATGCTTGCGTACCCCAAGGGGTACACATACTGTACCTCTGGTTGGGAATCACAGTTGTAGTGGACTGTTCTTAATGAAGTTTTTAAGATATGCCAGCAGTCCAGATCACCCCGGTGCTTGAGGACCCTTATATTACTGCTTGTAGTTTTTGACTATCTTTGTTTTTATGTCTTTACAGCTTTGGGCGCATCGGCCGCCTAGTTTTGAGGGCTTGCCTCCAGAAAGGCATCAAAGTTGTAGCCATCAATGACCCATTCATTGACCTGAAGTACATGGTGAGAAAATTCATGGCATGTTTTTACATGCAGTACACAAATTATGTGGGGGCGGGGCTAAAACTAAGTCAAACTGGAGTCATTTGGGAATGTTTCAGGAAAAAATAGTTCTTTATATTGAATTATGAATTTCTTAGTATTAACAATAAAGTGAAATGCATCTACCTTATTAAAACAGCTCTAACTGTGACCCATTATGTCTTGCCCATACCTTCCTAGGTCTACATGTTCAAGTATGACTCCACTCATGGCCGTTATCGAGGTGAGGTCTCCCATGATGGCAGCAAGCTCATTGTGGATGGCCAAGGCATCTCTGTTTTCCAGTGGTAAGTGATCACATCAGTCCAACTGTTTAAAAGCTTAGTTTTTCCAAATATCACGTTCAATATAATATATATACTATAATATATAGCATATTTATGTTTGTACAATGCAGTTCAATCTATGTAGCCACGCAGGTACACCCATTGGTTGACCTCAGAGCAGGCTGCCGCCACCCAGTTTAAAACTTTCATTCTGTTGTATGGAACGGTTGCTAGWCTATGCTCCCTGATCAGAGAGAGAATTAAAATAATTTTCAAGCAGAAAAGAGAGGTTTGCAAGTACAATTTTGATTCCTGCAGAGAGAGAGTTTGTGCGTGAGGAGAAATTCTGAGAGAAAATAACTATTTGAACTTAACTATTTAACT